AACCAGTCGATATCCTTATGTTGGGCTCCCCAGATCTGGACACAGCACTGTTTCTACCCTCTTGTTTCTGTACCACACTGGGTTCTTAACAGGTATTTGACCATGCGGTGTGCAGGCAGTGTCCCTCCGCACCACCAGCTATAGGCTGCGGAGCCACATGGTGGCCCTGGGGGCACCTCACGTGGTGTCGTGTCCTGTGGTGCGGCATGGTGCCTGCCCGGAGAGCTCACAGGCCAAATCCAACCACCTCCAAACGCATGGTCTGGGTTTACCCCAAACATTTTTACCCTGAAAAAGGGAAACAAATCCCATAGGAATGAAAGCAGCTGGAGCAATATTTCTCTTCAAGGCTGGACACTATGGGAATCATGGCCTAAAGCCCTCATGTGCCAAGCCCGAGGTGGGCAGGAGCTTTTGGCCGCATCCTGTTTTCTCCCTGTGTACTTCAGTGGACATTTGAGGTGTCAAGTAGAAAAGGAGAGAGCGTCAATTGGCAAATTTGTCCCAGTCCTGACCGTGGACGTTTGGTGGTGCAAATATTTACTGCTTTCAGTATTAATTATTAGTATCACTATCTGTGCAGGGCTTATCAAAATGCTTTGAAGCCAACAACCACCACATCCTCTTTTTATACTTTTTCAAAGCACTAGTAACCAAGTTAATGCGGAAAAGTGTGTTCCAAATGTCCAGTCATTTCTGTTGAATTTACTAATCTATACCTACATAGAAAATCTCCCGGGAAACAAGAGCGTGTAATAACTTCTGGCAATAATGTATCATTTTGCACTAAGGTTTGGGTTTTTTTTTGTTGTCGTCGTCGTTGTTGTGGTTGTTTGCATTTTTTTTTTAATAGGAAAATACTCTGAAAATACCTGATTCTAACAGGCTTTTCTGTTTGCTGGACTTCCTATTGCCTCTCAAAAGAAGGAAGAAATGACAGATGGTGAGCCACAGTAAACAGTGCAAACTATCTATACCGTTATTTTTAGTTTTCAGTGAGGTTTTTCAGGATCCCTGTTCTATACACAGAATACTGCACTTCAAGCTTCACATAATGGTTTGCACAGATGAAAAACATGCTTTCAAGAGCATCTTCACTGCTGTGTATTCGGTCCTACCTAATCAATCCTGCACAGAAAGTATTATATTCCATCTTAAGTGTTTTCAGAATTGGACACTGCTGTAGTCAATCTTAACATTTGTAATGTGTGTAAGCACTTCCTAAAACCTAGGCCAGTTTCACCTCTGACATGGGGTCAGCTTTACTGAGCTCAGTGGCATGTTGCTCACTTGCAGCAGAAGCAGACTTGGCCTTTAAAATTTGAAACTAATCCGTTAGCATTCAACATTCTTAAAATACCTCTCATATTCGGAGACCTCCTTAAGCAAATAAGTGCCAGCAGCCACTAAGTTGTCACCGTCTCTGGGGTAGAAGGCAGCAACCACATGGAAAAAGCATCCTGGATAACACAGTAGGATGGAGTATTTTTTACCAAGTTTTCTGGACCTCCTCTTGCACCTCGTATCCTGGCAATTTTCACCAGTGATGCAAAAGGATGGACAAAATACAACAGAAGTTTCCAGATACACAGAATCCTCCAAAGCACCCTCCTCAGTATTAGGAAGTGTACTGGCACATATACATTTTGGAGAAGTCCCTGAGCCCTGCAGTGTGGATGATGATCTGAATTCTTTGAAACTGAGAGCGTTTGTAACCAAGGTTTATTTCAATATGATCTCTGCTACAATTATTTCTGCATCTACGCCCCCCTCGCCCTCCCCTTCCTCCTTACCCTTTTATAATGTGCAATTTGCAGCTACAACTCTCCCTGTAGTGCTCAAGGAGGGGGTGCAGGCCCGGTTATGCAGGAGGCAGCTGTGACACTGCCCGTGAAACGTTAAACCTTACCCGACAGCTTTGTGATTGCCCCCAGCACTAAAGTTGCCTGCTCCCTCTCCCTTCTCCCTTCTCCCTTCCCCCTCTCCCAAATATTTCTCCAGCCCTGTCTCATTGGTGCACTACTCTCCTTTGCCTTTTTTGGACTGCCACCCTGTCAATCTAATGCAATAAGGCCAGGGGCAGGTGCAAACACCCTGCTATGGCTCCTCTTACTAACCAATCCTCTACTCGCCCCTCATCCCAAAATACCTAAGAGCCAATGGAGTGGGAAAACCCGGGACCCCGGGGAGAGGCCAAAGCTGCTGGATTGCTGGGGGGGGGGCATCCATTTAGGAGCCGGGTTAGCCCAGGAGCTGCCGAACGCTTGGATTCCTCTTGGGACTGTGGTGACTTGTGGGTAGCAGGCGCGCGCTGCTGCTTCATTTTCATCCCTGTCAGCATGGTGATCAAAGTCTTTGTAGCCACGTCTTCGGGGTCTACAGCGGTAGGTGCCTCATTTCACATACTCCTCTTTCTGCTGGGATCAGGTTGGTAAATTAGCCGAGAAGATCCCAGGACAACCTGAGTTTGCATGGAGATAAAAAAACCTCACTAGATTTCTTCTAGTCTGCGTTGCACACCTTATTCTATAAAGCTACTCAAGATGCAGAGAATTCTTACTAACGCAAGCCTGCTCGCATGCGAGATTTTACAACACGTATAATGCTTGCATATAAATTATCTGTCATTTAATAGGTTTACTTCTGTTTGAAAAACTATAAGCAATGTATATTAACTGAAGAAGGAAAAAAGTGGATATTGTATTTGCACAAAAGCTAAGGTAGATTGTTTACAGTAGAAATTAATCTGTTTGTTTTCAAAGGAGACTTTAGTACACTGCTCCTGCAAAAGGGGAACTCTGCCTAAGAAACGGCCTGGAGCCAAAGTAAACTGAATCAAGATATGCAGCAAAAAATTTTTTCCCCACTCTGCTCCCTTTCCCTAGTGGGTTTTGGTGGTTTTGTTTGTTTGTTTGTTTGTTTTTTTAATGGGATTTGTGTGTGTGTGTGTATCTCTTGAAGTGCTATGCTGATGATTTTTAGTATTGAGATCTACTGCTGTAGCTGTCAGCATAGTGTATCAGCTGAAGGGAAGGACATGTGAATAGTAGGGAGGTTGGAAGTCCGTGGGAGGTGGGAACCGGTAAAGCACTGTTTCCTTTTATATCCAGTTCCCAGATGAGCTCAGATTGCAGTTTTCCTTTGGCAGGCACTCTCTCCCAGTGACACGGCTAAACAAGCGGGCTGGGGCTTGCACATAGCTGTAACTACATCTCTCTCTCTCTGACACCAGCTCCCTGTGTTTAAGAAACTTCCAGAGTTGAAAATCTCCAAAACCCACGCCCTGTGCATGGGACCATCACTTCTAGCAACTGAAACAGGGGTCGTTTGCTAAGATTCAAATGGGAAGACAGAGGAGGAAGTTTGCAGTTCTCTCATTAGCTTGTCTTGCCAGCCTATCCCTAAGCCTGACACTCTGAATTTACTATTGATATTTTAGCATTCCTTTTTTAATAAGAAATTTAAGATGGTTTCCTTTAAGGGGGAAAAAAAGCAGAGGTAGTTGGGAACTGCAGGTTTGTTGATCTGTCATCTAGCAGTTATTGCTCAGGTAGCTTTATAAACTGCCATACACTGTGCATTAGCAGTCTTTTCGCTCCCATTTGGTCTCCTGTTTTGGTTTCCTTCGGTTGGCCAGAGTCACCCCTCCCTCCTTTGCCACTCGTCCATTGTCTGGGGAAAGTTGCGCCCCTGACTGAAGCCCCTGTGCAGACGTTTTGAATGTGTGTGTTGGAGCCACGGTCGTCCTGTGTACCTCAGGCGTGAACGGTTTCCGCTCCGACTGTAGGCCTGGGGCTGTAGTTCAGTAATGCGGTTGGTTGTGTGAGGGCTTTGGTTAAACACTGCCATTCAGACATCACTTAGGCAATTAAAACTGAGCGTATCATATATTTAGCACTAGCTGAACCAAGATCTTTCCTTTGCTCTACGCATTGCTTGAATCTCCTCCCAGCTAGCAGCTATTACTAACTCCTTTCCCCCTGGACTGCAGCGAAGGGATGTGTATGCTACGCTGAACACTGAGCACCGTGCAAGCTTTCTCCACCCATTCTGAGCTGTGAAGCGTTGCTACTGTGATTTATTGCTGCTGAGAAAGATAGCTAATGTCAGTGAACTCTAATAGGTTTTAAGTTTATTAATGACAATCTCCACTGGACGTTGGCAGCCAACAAAAGCTGTTAGTGAGATCCCACACATATGCTGGAGGGAAGAGCAAGTCCAGAGGAGGCCATGAAGATGCTCCGAGGGCTGGAACACCTCTGCTGTGGGGACAGGCTGAGAGAGTTGGGCTTGTTCAGCCTGGAGAAGAGAAGGCTCTGGGGAGACCTTATAGCACCTTCCAGTATCTGAAGGGGCTACAAGGAAGCTGGGGGGGACTTTTTACAAGGGCCTGTAGTGACAGGACAAGGGGGAATGGGTTTAAACTGAAAGTGGGGAGGTTTAGATTGGACATCAGGAAGTAGTGCTTCCCGGAGAGGGTGGTGAGGCACTGGAACAGGTTGCCCAGAGAAGCTGTGGATGCCCCATCCCTGGAAGTGTTCAAGGCCAGGCTGGCTGAGGCTTTGAGCAACCTGGTCTAGTGGAAGGTGTCCCTGCCCATGGCAGGGGGGTTGGAACTGGATGGTCTTTAAGGCCCCTTCCAACCCAAACCATTCTGTGAGTCTATGATCTTTACAGGGCAATATGCCCCCTTATTGCCTCCTTTCAGGTGTGTTGGGTGTGCCTATAGCTGCAACACTCTCAGAAGGCAGGATGTGTTCAGATTAGTGATACATAATTTCAATGCCAAGTAAACACAATGTTCAGCTGGAGTAGTTTTACACATTCACTGATTAAAATGGATGGACGGTACCCTCTCAATGAAGCTTTGAGTTTTGGAATATTTCAAATAAAACCCGTTCTTTCAAGGAGCCAGCATAAACCACAATATATCACTAAAATACTATTAAAAACATATTTTGTATCAGCTTTGTACAGCTTTAGCTGAGAAGAATGAATTTAATCCCCAAAGAACTTAAATTGGAAGTCTAGGTTGTCCTAGTAGCACTGGTGCTCTCTTCAGTGTAGCTGATCTCCATTGAGCGCACGTTGTTCATTTGGAATCTTCAAAATGAAATGAGCCCAGCCTCCTCTGCTGTAAATCGGCAGAGGATCATTGGTAAAGAATTGAAAACGTTTCTATTCTGTGTACTACACATTCGCACTACTCATTGCAACTGGTTATCACGTTAATAAATACTTTAAAGAAGTGTATGCAGTGAACCCAGTAACATTTTGTGCTCTGGATCAGGTGCTTGAATGATAGAATTCACTGTGGCTCTAGAGCAAATCTGTCATCTGTATTCTTCCCCTCAGTGATTCAGAAACTTGTTTTAAATAACTTCAGCCTTGTTATCTTTCTGCTCCAGACTTAGCTGATACTGAACTATTCATTAAGGCAAGCAGAAGTGGAGACACCTATTTATAGTGCTAAAAAGTACTAAATGCTTGGCTTGAAGCAAGCAGTAAAAAAATAGAATGCTCTTGTTACTAGCTACTGAGGTGTTTAGAAATGGGTAATATCCTGCAAGGTTCTAAGGTACCAAGAATCACGGGAGAAGTGGGCTTCATGCCTTACACAGTATAAGTCTTCCAAACTCTTGCTTACTGCTGCTCACATTTAGGGCACACCTCTAAAATCCTTTTATTCCCAGCATTTTTTGTGACATTTTATGAACTTGCCCACCTTCAAATCTGTAGGTCTCAGAAAGACTGAGGAGAATGTACACTATTTGAATCATGTCCCCTAAAATACAGGTGTTTGTCACCTGTGACTCTGAATCTAGCCATATATAAACCTGAGCTCTAATTGCAAATCAATTTCAAGTCAAATCAGAGGTTAGGGTGTGACAATAAGAATAATTATCAGCAATAAGTTGTCCATGCAGTGTTAGAACCAGAAGCTGAAGCAATTCTACCTACCAACATTAATGTTCTTCTTGACGTACGTTGTTGACTATGTGCTGTTTGCTTCTGCCACAGGCAACTGGTCAACATGAATACTCTGGGTTGTAAGGATATAGATGATAATATTTAATTATCCATCAGGTGGAACTATGATTATCTGTCGCTCTTATACGCTAGAGAGATAATATTTATTTAAAACAGGTTTTTCTTATTTTAAGGGACTAGCAGCTCAGGATGGTGGAACTTAAGCTTTGCTGAAAGAGAACATGTTATTGATGAAATAATATCCTGCTCACCACCACTTTCCAGGGAATCTATGCCCAAGTAATCTGAATTCTCATGCCATCAGACCCAAGTGAGGGCACAAACAGGCTCCTGCAATCTCATCCATTCTGAGAAAACCTTTCCATGTCCTCTATGTTGTTACGTCCTGGATGATTTCTCTCTTTGAGTGGTGTTTGCTGGAGAGATTCTTCTGGTTGCCCAGCTACCTAGTGCTAGCAACAGCAGAGGCTGGCCTTATGGTTTCATACTTAGTGTGTGTCCCAGATCTTTTGCTCTGCCTAGTTTATTGTTGTTACCATAATGAGAAACATCTTGCCTTTTCCTTTTGCAGGCATAATGGCTTGTAACTTTTTTTTCCCCTCAGCATTCATTTTTCACACAACCCTCTACTAATTTTTGCTTTCAGTCCTGGTGCTTTCTGAGCCTCCTGTGTATTATCAACATCAAGATAAAGAAAAATTGTTTATCCAGGTTTAATTCTAGAAGTTATAGCTATAGCCATAGTCAAGGGAGCACAGAGCCTATGGCTCAGTTTCCATTATCTCTCCAGGGGCACTATCTGCCTGGGACACTAGTTATTCCAGGAGCTGTATCTACTTCAGTGCCTGTGTCCAAAGAGACAAGCTGACGCTGAAATTGCAGCTGACAGCACTTGAGTACACTGGCTTTCAGAGCATGTGGTGAAACTCTTAGCACTGGCCCATGCAGGTTTTATTAACCATTTATATAAACATTCTGCCACTTCGTCCAATGAAGTGGCCCTCAAGCAATCCTTTCTTCCAACTGAATGTGTTCTGCAAATAACTGTGCAGCTAAACAGGCATTAAGAAAATGATGTCTGTTTAAAAAGTGAAAATAAGAATATAAATAAACACCTTTGAGATCTCTCAACTGCATGACTTTTGAACACTTTGGATTAGTGCTTCCATTCAAAGTGATGTACTTTTTTTTAGCTCACCGTAAACCTCTGTTGTTGCCATAAAAATTTACAACATTTATGTTTGTTATCTTTTATAAGCAAGCATAGCTGTAGAGATACGTCCTTATTTAAACAAGAAAAAGAAATTTTATCCTTAATCATGAGAGTTCATTCTCCCAATATAATAGGCTATCATTCTACTTCAGCTTTTCAGGTTTATTAGATTATAGAAATATATAGCCTCGGAATTATTCGTTATTTCATTGTCTGTCTCAGACTGATGTACACTAGTTTGGTGTCACTTTAAATTCAGTTGTTCAGATGTCTGACTTGTGGAAGACATGGTTTCAAGTCAAATGATGGCTCTTGTGTAAAAATTACCTTGAAACATCGTTCTAGCTATGTTCTGTACATGACAGTTACTTGCTGCATGGGGTAGCATAATTGGGAGAACAGAGTTATGTCTGGAATGTGATTGTGCTAGACAGTAATTGAGTTGTCTGTGATCGAGGAGCAGCTTGAGGGAATTTGTATAGATAGTCCAAACTGATCTGTCTTGGCTGTCTTCAAGGCCAGGCTGGATGAGGCTTTGAGCAACCTGACCTGGGAGAGGGTGTCCCTGCCCATGGCAGGGGGGTTGGAACTGGATGGGCTGTAAGGGCCCTTCCAACCCAAACCATTCTGTGATTCTATGAAACAGTGCTTGCCTCAAATGCCACAGTACTTGTAGGGCCTTGCAGCTCTTAGACAAGTTAGACATACGCAAAATGGGGAAATTCTTTAAATGTTGCTTAAGAGTAGCATTCCTTTAGTAGAGAAGTATAGTGAGTATTACATCTTCAGAGTAAAGGGATAGGTTAGAAGCTTGGCGCTTGCATCCTTGGTCTATAGAGAACTAGCACCAAAGGGAATAAGGGCCGTGATTAAATCTTAGCTGGCATAGAAGCTGAGTATAACATGATTTATTTGTATGTAATATGTTCTTCATGTATTGCATTCTGTAATGTGGGAAATACTCAAGCACAGGAGTTAAGCTGTACTGGATTTTCATAGAGCTTTCACTCATATTTAATTATGCTTAACATTAGAGAACAGGGACAGGGAGAAACATGTGGCTCATGGAAAGCTAAATGTCACATGTAATGAGTAGGAAAAAGTAGACTCTTACATGTTGAGGAGAATATGGATATTCTCAGACCTGGGCTGACTTCAGGCAGAATTAGTTTAGGTATCTGTACACCGCACTCACGGATCTGGGAACAGAGTAGGAGGTTTCCTGCTGGGCCTCATTTCTTAGATGGAGGCATCACTGCTTCCAGGGAGGAAAGAAGGAAGCTGGGGGTGGCAGGGGGCAAGTAATGGCAGCGCTGTGGTTGCTGAGAAGCAGTGCTGAATCTCCGCTTCAAAAGCTTTGGGGGCTGCTGGAGTAGTGGATCCAACTTGACATACCTGCATTAGTTCTGCTTGAAATGGCAATTGCTTTTAGAAAACAAAGACGCAGTGTTGTTTTTCCTCTTTCCTAATCAGATCAAAAAGAAGCAGCAAGAAGTAGTGGGCTTTTTAGAGGCCAACAAGATTGACTTTCAGCAAATGGACATAGCAGGTGATGAAGACAACCGGAAATGGATGAGAGAGAACGTCCCGGGTGAAAAAAAGCCTCAAAACGGAATTCCCCTCCCTCCACAGATCTTCAATGAGGAGCGGTACTGTGGGGTAAGAAGCTGTTTGGAAATTTAAATACCTTCAGAGAGTCTTCTTTCACAGAAAGTGACTCTTTTCCGTTAGAAACAAGTGTCAAAATCCTTAAGACAATTTGAGATTCAGTCTGAAAGAACAGTTCTTAGAAAGCATTTTTTGGGAACAGAAAAGTAATGAAACAAGAATATTCCTTTTTAAGAGAAAAATACAGAGTGAAAACTGAGTAGAGGAACTCTGCTTTACAGACTGTGTGGATTATCTCCTGCAGACCCCGAGCCTCTGCAGGACCCAGAGCTCACTGCAAGGCATGGAGTTTGCTGCCTGCGAGGAGCTCTGTGTTTTCCTCTCACATTCTCCTACCCACTGCTGCGTAGCTCACGCGCAAGTTGTCCTACTGCTGGGCCTGCACCTGCACGCTCCCTTCAGTGCCTGCAGACCAAAGGCAGTATTTCCTAGGTGGTACTAGGGCTCCTTCTTCGCACAACGTCTAAGGAAAACCAAGGGTAGACTGTGAGGACACCTCAGCTGCACTCGGAGAGGTAGATGCTCAGTTGGGTGGTTTGACAGTACCGAGCTATTCCAGCCTAGTGGGGTTCGTAGCAAGGCTGATCTGCCTTCAGCCCTCTCGAGCTGTGTTGCACTTTGCCTCTGGAACTTTCAGTTAATTTTGCATAGGTGAGTGTTTGTACTTTGACACAGACTCATCTGGGCTATTGGGGAGTCAAGTAGATGTCTGAAGCACCAAGGGCTGTGAACAGAAATCTTTCTTTTCCATGATATACAAATAAATAGGAATTATAGTTGACTGGAGTAGTTCTAGTGTGTGATTTGAATTATTGAAATTATATTGCTCATTCAATAAAAATCCAGCTCTTCATAAGAGAAATTGTAACGCTCATCAAATGCTTTTGTATTTTCATATATGCTTGTAACAGGTCCTTTCTCTTGAGATGGTTTGTTCAAATCAGTGATAGATAACGCTGTACCAGCATAAACATTAGGATCTTGAATCAAAAGAAATATCTGAGACAGTTTTTGTTCTCATAGTCTGGATGGAAATACAGAGTCTGGAAAGTACTCTGATACAGTTGCTGAAATGAACTTGCAAAGTACTTTGAAACGCAGATCACATAGTGAGCCCAGTTTTAAGTTACTCCACAAATCCTGTGTGAGCTACTACAAAGGTTGTTTTGAGAGAGAAGGGATTTACATGCCACTAAGTTTTCAGAATTAACTTCACTGCTCTCAGCAAAAATTACTTGTATGAATAACAGAGTGCAATTGTTTCCTCATTTTCTCATAGGGATCTTAAAAGAGAACTTGGTAGCTTAGAGTTCATGTGCATTTCAACATCCAATCTGCATCAATAAAAAGTATAATTTGATACATCTTACTCTGGATTTTGTGGCAGCTAGTGCTGCAATAAATATTTCTGATATTCCCTGGAGAGGTCGTATAGTCAATTAAAGAGTAATTGCCTTATGATGTGTTGCAGCTGGTCAGCCTTGCTACTAAATGATAAATACACAGTTTTTACTCCATGTCTGAAGCTATTTCAGGAACCCTAATAATCTACATCTTGAAATAAATGTAAGTTAAGAAAGAGTCCTTTGCAAAGACACCTTAATGTGGAAAGAAGTCCAGAAAGCAATTAAAAACTAAATCAAATTTACAGTTAGTCTAAAAGTCTCCAGGATTCTAATATACCCAGGCCTCAGAGCTCATAGCTGATGATTTTAGTGGGTGCATAACAAAGATTAATTTACAGCAACATTATTTCCAAATAAATAAGGTACGGAGATCCGTATCAGTACATGAGCCTTACCCTTCTCCTCAAGGGAAGGTGCCTCAAGGGAGCTGCACAGTGACTGTGAAGTGGGATTATGTGGGCTGGTTGAGAACATGGCCAAGGGCTGGCAGACTGGTGCACAGTTACTCCAAGTGACGTGATGTCTTCTGCAACATGTCTACAATATGAAGCTGGGGATTTGCATTCTACTTCCCTGCATAACCTGTGGAGATCCAACACCCCCATTGTTCTGAAATCCAGAAATGTTTTATGCTGTTTTTCCCTGTGTCCCACTTCCTTGGTCCTCAGCTACTTTATTAAAAATTGGGCTGAGAATTGCAGAGGTCTGCCTGAGTCAGGGACTCCAGTCCAGTGTCCTGAATTCATGAATGTCCCTTTAAAATAAGTTGCTCTTTTTAGTACAGTGTTCAGGTGCCTCAGTTCTCTGGCATCTAGAAACCTTTGAATTTGCAGTCTGGTTATCTGCAGCCAGTTTATACCCATTTCCTGGTATGTTGAAATCACTCTTTAGCTTAAACAGCTCTAGTCCCATGTACTTGTAAATGGGAATCATCCTCTATCAATCTTCATTTTGCTATGCTAAACAAGTCAAGCTCTTTATACCTCTTTTTTTGTAAGCCATTTTCTTTTTCTCTTTCTCCATCCTACAATTGTTTTTTCTTCCCTCATTCTCAGGTAGTCCTTTGTTTTTAGGTCAAACTTGTTAAATTTAATTTCTGCTCCTTTTCCTTTCTGAGATCACTCGTTTTCTTCGCTTCCTATTGGTTGTCCTGGATGTTTGGTTCCCATTCACACACATGCACGTGTATACACATTAGCAGTATGCTGGCCTAGGGAGATGAAAATTCAAGAGAAAAGATTTCCTTCCTCATCCCGAGAGAGAGGGATTTGGAGAGACACATGACAACCTTCAAATATTTTAAGGGCTGTGGCAATAAGGAGTTCATTCTTTGTCTGAATTCAGTACTGACCCTGCTTTGAGCAGGAGGTTGGACTAGATGGTCTCCCAAGATCTCTTCCAACCTGAATTACCCTGTGGTTCTAGGATTTTGTAAAATACATTCTGCTCCACACCCACTGGAGATGGGCAAGGTGTAATGAGCAAAAAATGCAGCAAAAAAAATTTAAATCAGACATCAGAGAGAAAAAAAAAAGAAAGAGTAGTTTTCAGGAGATTGTCTCATTATGTCATTAAAGTTCATTAGCAGTGGTTTGGAGAAACACCTCTCGGGAATTGAGTAGTGGTTCCTGCCCTGGAGAAATAGTCCTTTGAGATCTTCCCCAATCCCTCCTTCTACACTTCAGTGAAATTTTGGGGGTGAGGGTAAGGAAAGAATGGATCCTGGGGGCAGGTGAGGAGGCTTCCTTTTCGTGCTGGGATAGACTGACATAATGAGCAAGTAAATGCCGTCCTGCCGCTAATCGCCTTTTCTGCTCATAGGTGAAAGTGTCTGCATCTTCTTCCTGAAGAGCTGCTCCACTTCCTAACTTGTACTGTAAAACAGAGGTTTCTTACAGATGCATTTATGAAAACACACCAAGTGTGAGCAGCTTTTCCATGAGGTCAGAGAAGCTTAAGTCTGTCTTATAAATAGCTCGAATCTTAATTTTCTTTCAGATCTTTGTTATCACCACTTGAAGAAAGAGATTAGAAATGGATTTATTTTGTATGCCTGGCTATAGCATCAATTTCAAGTATCCATTCTAATCCATCAGTGTTGGCAATTATGTTCTTATTTGATCTTTTTCTTAAGCTGCTTCTCTGCTCATGTCTAGACAGACGTCTGCATCTGTGGCACTTTCTAAATATATTGAGCACTTCGTTGCTCTTCTTTGCTTCACAAAAACCCCTAGAAAACTAGGAAAGCAGTGGAATATAAACTTCTGGTTTCCTCTGTAAGCTGAAATCTATGCCTTTCTCTGTAAACCAGTCCATAGAATAAAACACCCATGTATATATTTCTTTAAAGAATCTCTGAATTATTAGATAAGACTTTTATTTGATGCTTCATATAACTGTTGAAGTCAAATAGACGGCAAACATAGGGACCTGTGGAGGTCTGTCGTCTAGCCTGCTGCTCAGAGCAGGAAGAGCTTTAAAGTTGCTTGAGGCTTTGGCCATCTCAGTTTGAAGTCTTCAAGGATGGCATTTCCATGCTCTGTACTCTGACATGGTGCTGTACCACTCATGTGGGGAAGAACTTTCCACTGATGTCCAATTGGAATTTGCTGTTTTGCTGCCTGGCGTTTCCACAGTGGTCATACAAAAGATGATAGTGTAGAATGTGTATGTCCCCATGCACTCATGTCATACAGAAAAAGTTGTGATGTGAAAGTCATCCAGTGGAAGGTGTCCCTGCCCATGGCAGGGGGGTTCAACTAGATGATCTTTATGGTCCCTTCCAACCCAAACCTTTCTATGGTTCTATCATACTTTTTTTTACATTACGTTTCACTGTATTTTTCCAAGACTAGTTCCAAAGACAAATGACACCACTACACTCCTCCTGGACCATTTATGACCTCTCATGCAGATATAATATTATTCCTTACCTGAAACAAAATGTTAATGATCATTTTTCTTTCTGCCTGCCTTGGTAAGAGTTACCTTTGGGCATTCAGTGAATGGAGATGTGAACAAGTCACCGTTAGGAACATAAGCATGCAAATATACAACACAAAAAACATGCCATGGTCTCTGTAGTCATGCTTTCAGTCCCTGCTACGTACCTAAGAGCTCATTCGTCAGTGTAAGCAAGGTGTGTGACCTTCCAGCAAAGAGATGGTTTGAAAAATGGGTGGCCTGGAACAGCAGCAGGTATTCTGCCTGGCCAGGGCAAAATGTGCTCGGGGATGCCTCCCGGGCCGGGCAGTTCCCACTGCGTGTAGCTAGATCTGAGTGAAAGCTTATCTGTCCCTTAGATAAGTCAGTGAAATGGCCTGTCATTTATCCTGTCTGTTAAACTATGTTGCCTCTTCCAAATGGGATTGAAACGTCCTTGATTGCAGTCTTGTTGACATTAAGGTGACTTCTAAACCATCTGCCACAACCTTTCCCTGGGATTACTCTTGGCCAATAATTTATTCTCTGGAAATACTAAAACAGCCCAATAAAACAAGTCAGGTCCTAACCCAGCTTTACAAACAAGTCTCAAGGATGACTCAGCACCTTATTATTTACAGGCTTCTATTTTTGGAGTTATTTGGGATGGGAGGGAGGATGGTAATGTGGTCAAGTTTAGGACTCAGCAGACATACGTTCAGTCCCCTGGTCCACACAGAGTTGCTGTGTGACTGTGAGCTGGTCACTTGTAACCAGAGTTTCTGTAGGGTTTCTTAGATACATGTTGATTTTTACCTGTGTAAGAAGTGTCATGGACTTTCCCGTAACAAACTAGTGATAGCAGAGCTTCCCTACTTGATAGGAAAGTTGTACAGGTGAATACAGTAAAGATCATGCAAGTTTTAGATGGTCGGATAGGAGCCATCCCTCATCTTTTCAGTTATATTAGCACCGAAGAGAAAACGGACATTTAATGTAATGATTTATAATTTCAGCTCACATGGGGACAAGGCATTTTGGCTAGCACATATAGGTCAGAGGGAACAACATGGTCCTTTGCTAAGTTTGTCTGAAAAGTAACTGCATTTTCCAACCAGAGTGCCTTTCTTTAAAAAAAACCAACCAGTTTCCTCATTATCATTTCACTCATGCCATTATGTTGACTCTCGCCTTTTATTTGCCATCAAACTGTCCAGGGTTTTGAGGGCCTACTTTGTGTTCTTATTCACAGCAAGTTTTATTTTAACATTTAGATGGGAATAGCTTTGCTTTGGTGTGTACAGCTGAGGCACATGAAAATGAGACGTTTAATTTTATCTGATTCTGACATAGATGTGATATAATTAAAGTGTAAGTCTCTGTAGAGATTTGGCCATTTGTTCAATATACCAGCCAGTGTAAAAGCCCCTTTATCTGAGTTTTACTCCTGGAGCTTAGATAATGCAGGTGCTGGTACAAATGCACAGTCATTCTCATCAATGTAAGAAAGATTTGTCTGCATCAGTCTCTTCCTCCTGTGCTTTTTGTTTGATTTTTGTTACCAATGCTCTGTCATTTGTTTGTTCCTTTTTCTTTTTTTTTTTAGGATTTTGAATCCTTTTTCTCTGCTAAAGAAGAAAATATTATTTATTCATTCCTGGGTCTTGCTCCTCCTCCAGGCACAAAGGTATGCACTGCTGTCCTTCCATGGGGGCAATTTGTTTGATTTTAATAAAAGATGAAGATAGGCAGTGACTCAGCATGTCAAGTAAGGGGCAGTGACAAGCATTACATTCAATACTGGTGCAGCAAAGTGTTCTTAAGGGAGAAAAAAGGGGCTGGGTCAGTGAATAATAGAAAATACTTCTCTCTTCCCTTCTTTCAGTGCAGGCTTGTTGCCATGCCTCCAGCTGATGATTTTGTTGTTGTTGACACCAAGCAGTATTTTATCATGATCGGCTTGTAAATGATGCAGAATTTCCTAATGCAATTTATAGGTTGTGTTTATTACAAGAACCCTTCACTTCCCCCTGCTTGCACCCAACCTTGCGCAAACAGGGTCTGTACTGTTTTCTGTCGGGGCCCGCAGACTGTGACTATGGGGTTCGCTCCCTCTGCCTTGAGGAGATGAAATCTCACTCAGGACTTCACAAAATCCCTTTAGCAAGTCTACCTGTTGTAGTCTGTCCACTGTATTTTGATAATGTTCTAATATTTTTCTGGCAACAGAAAAGGATCTTTTTTGTTGGCTTTGTTTTTTGTTTTGTTTTGTTTTTCTTTTTTACAGACAGCAATGTGTTTTATCTTTAAGAGTGTCTTCTAATTAGAAGTTTTATAACTGATAGCATTACAGCTTTCTCATCCTGGGATCATGTTAGATGATAATCAAATGTTGCCATTTTTAAAGTGGGTGATTCAACCAAAGAAATAATTCAAGAGAGTGACGGACCACACCACAGTGGCAGGAGAACTCTGCTGCGTTGTGGCGACCTGGCTGAAGAACTGCCCTGGAGCATGAGACCTGCTTTCTGGTCCAACTCTGCTGCCTACTGTGTAGCAACTTTAAGTGAACCACTGTTGTAAATGTCTCTGTTTTTCCTCTCCTTTAAGAGCGGAGAGAAAACAGAGCCTTTGCTAAGTGCTTTGAGAGCTACAGATGAAGAGATACCCAGGGGAGTGCCACAGTTGCTATAAATGCCTTTGATACTGAGTGCCTGTGTGATAAGGAGCAAGTGATTTAAACTTTCGGCTTCAGCTGTGCCATCTCCCACCAAGGGAAATAAAAAGTGCTTGCCTACCTCACAAGGGTCTTGTGAGAATTCATTTAATTAACATCCACAAAGCCATGAAAGGCTTAAGGGACTGCAGGTATTACATACTACAATCATTACAAAAGATATGTGGAGAATCAATGAGGTAGAGAAAATTGCATTTTTTTTCCATCTTCCCACTTCATGTATTATCTGCTCCTTCATGCAAGGTTCTGTTAGATAGCGTGTCTGTGAAGCCAAGTAAGAATTGGTGGGCATTCATTCATTCCCAGCTGTCAGCGGAGGCTATGACAGTTTCTACTTCGTGACAACTTTGTAAATGTTGAAAATAATACGTTTGGTGCATTCTGCCGGGCAGATAATTGTTAGTGCTATTGGTTGAAAGCGAGTGTGGTTTACGCTGATTAACTGCTTCATCGGTGGTGGTGCTGATTGTTTCAGCCCAGAAAGCGGAAATAAGTGAGAGTGTTTTTAAAATCAATGTAAAGAGTGGAAGCATATTTACATTGTCTCCTTTTTAGAACCTGTTCCTGAATTTGAGAGACATATACGAGTGTTTTAGCACTTATTGCAGAGGTGTTTCTCAGCCTCTTCACTGCATGACAGTCTGGCTGTGCTCTGTCACACCAGTAACCCTGCTGCACTGCTGCTGCTTTCCTTTCACTAGGCTGTCGGTTCAACCTTAGCATGAAGTACAATGGGTGCCCCCCTGACATTGATTTCCAGCAGCGTGAATCTGGAGTAATAAGTCAGGTGTGGAAGAGATGGTGATGATGACGCATAGGACAGAATTTCCTACTAATCCCTTCTTAAATAATTGTAATTTTTTTTTCTGGAATATGGGGATAATTAATAGAAGAAGCAGAAATATAAACCATAGGAACACCACAAAACAGTCAGTAAGCATTTGCTTTCTAGGGGTTTTTACCTCACTGAGAGATGACAAAGATTAATATGGAGCTGATACATGTTTTATGCTCTGGCCTCAGAATATTCTCCTGCCTTTTCTATCCATCTTTTTATGTCATATTGGACCAGCAGTAGAGATGCTCTTTAATGACCATGATGCTGTTTCACAGCACAGTCTGCTAGGATCCTGACCCAGGCCTGTTTTGAGCCTATTTTCTAGAGCAAGCAGAGGAAACCTTTTGCTACTCCCTCAACAAATTACAGCTTCCCAACAAAATACTTGTAGTTAAATGCATTGCCACATCAGCCTGCTGACAGCAAAATACAAGTTTCACTTCTGCTGGTTCTCATTTTCATAGCCCTGACTTTCCTCTGGCTTAGGTGGCTACAACTTGTCACCAGACCCACTTGACCAGCGTTTACATTGAACTGTTACTTCTAGGTGTTGGAGCTCTGATGGTGCCAGAGCCTAATGTGCAAGCTCATCTACACTTACAGGATGAGTCTGATATGTCTAGAACACATCAAAGTTGTCACCAAGATGCAGATTGACTCTAAGACACATGTAAAGAAGCTCTGAATACACACAGATGTAAAGGAGATCCTTCTCAGACCTGCAGCACACATGAAAAGTAGCCTTTATGCACTTATTAAGTATCCTCTTGCAAAAAAGCTGTAGTTAACTCACTAGGAGATAGCAAATTGACATGGAAGTTAACCAGACTGGCTGCAAAACAGGGGTGGGGGCAGGTCCCTCCCTGCAGCCAGCCGTGTTTGGACCTCTGCTAAGGGTTCTGGTAGGTACCACTGGACAGATTACCAGTTGCTGTGTCCAGCACCGTGTTCCCAGATCCAATAAAACAAAGTATGTAGATGCCTGGGTGGCATATGGAAACTCCCGCCGGTCTTGGTGGAAAGGCTGAAGCTCTGAATGCTAACTATGTGCTTAGATCACTCTGGAAGCCAGGCAAAGATCTCCACATTCTTTTTCCTATATGCCAAGTATATTTTTATCATTAAAGGGTGCTATGTGGCCATAAAAATCAGTGACACTGCAGAAAATCAATACTTATTATTGGTACTACAGAAAGGATCAATTAGCTCACCTCATCCTCTTTCTCCTGTTGCCTCTCCATCGTACTGGTGATCATATTTCCTAAAGCATCACTTAACAGGGATGAGTTGCACGATTTTCTATCCCTAATTCTTTAGTCTGTTAATAGGAAATACCTTCTCACTTGAAGGAATACCTGGTCTTAAATACTTCTAACTTCTAAACATGTTCCATGGCAGGCTGGGATTTAAAGACAGCTGTGCTTTATGTCTGACCCAAAGATCACTCAAGTTAGTGACAGATTTCTGAATGATCCCATTTAATCTTGGATTAGTGGCATGAACAGTGATGTGCCAACAGTACACGTGTGTACATCTGAGCTATAATCAATGTAGTTTGTATGTCTAGGGTCAGGTGTGTCAGTGTCAGCTGCCCCCCAAAGCTGGGTATGTTTCTTTTCAAAGCCCCCATCACTTTCATGCTTACTCTGAGATTGTTCTCAATACTCTTGAAAATATTCTGAAATACTGGAAGGTGTGAAAAGCCCATTAATAGCCGTGGTGCACTGTTTGTTTTCTAAAATGGCACGGGTGAATTGTTCTGCCAAGGAGATATCTGTTACTTAAACAAAGAAGTCAAACAGTGTGCTGAATCGTTACACCTTCTGAGTATCTTAGCAAGGTTTGAATGCAGGTAATTAATTGCTTTGTTATTTTCAGGGGAAAACAGGGTTTTTTGACAACTTTCTTAACTACACTGGAACACTGCTTTTGTTTCCCAGAAGTCCAGGACCCAGTAGCTTGTAGCAAGATCATTTAGGATTACAATTGCGCTGTGAACTCAGAGAAGCTGATTTACTTGAGCTGAGACTCTGTTTTCAAATCTTGTTTATACTTAACTCCTGAATCTTAGTATTCCTGGTCTTAATATCCATGCTCTTGACATCCCAAAATCCATAGATACTTGAGCTTTCGTCTGTTAGTTGAAGGCGGCTTCTAGTAAAACTGCTTTGAACTACAAATTTACAATATGTGCATTTTATTTAAAGGGAAAATGACTGTCAGCCAATCTTTATCAATGGGATTTCAATTTAAATTAATTAAAAATAAAATTTTGTGTTGCTATGTAGAGCTAGTGTGACGATGCTATTCCAAATATCACAGTTCTCCGTATAATCAGCAAGTCTGTATGTGTGTGCATGCGTGTCCTGTCTGATTACACATTGCTTCTACAGTTGACTTCTTTCAGCCACAACATTTATTTGCCTTATGCTCTGACTAAATATATGTTACATCTGCGATAGTTTTACACAATAGTTATATTTTAATTAGAATGCCATCTTTACTCTTTATGTATTTTACATATCTGCAAAAAAAATATGGAGTATCTGGATTTAAAAATGAAATGTTAAGATACATGCCAAAAATAAATATCTAACCAATTTAGTTTTCATGAACATTATAATTTTCATTTTAGGAATTGCTACAAAGAAAGTATCTGTAAGGAAGTTATCATTTGCTGAAGAAAACAATGATGTGTAAATACAATGTTACACAAGGGAATTTCAATGTCTGCCTGTGTTACAATGTATTTTAATCTTCAGATATTCTGTTAGCTTGTGGGGGAAACACAAGGTATAAATTAAGCCAAACAAATGTCTCCGTAGATCTGCTTCTAATAACAATGCCACCAGGATTAGAGAGCAGTGAGCCCACAGTTTTATGCATGCCTGAAATGAGATGGTATTCCCAGAAAAAGTAGACTTTTCTCCTTCCCTTTTTCTTCCCCTGGCTCCTTCTGCTTACTCCCAGCTGCTTATTCCTCTCCCCAGGCATCCCCCACATGCTGGCAAAAGCATTCATGCAGCTGTGTAACGGAGTGTGCAAATTGTGCGACCTGGAAATGTTTTTCTTTTCAAAGCCTGAATCTTGATCAGCTGCCTGCTCCGGTTCACCGTGCAGCCTTGGGATGGCTTTTGCTGCCAGGAGGGCAGGGGCGGTGCAGTGCTGGGAAGGACTGCGGGGAGGGCGATGTTTGCTGCTGCTCGCAGGTTTTTTTGCTGTTGTCACTCTTCTCTGTGGAGAGGAAAGGGAACTTACGTGCCTGCTATGTGCCCACTCTCTTTTCATTGCGAGCTCCTTACATATGAAATGTATTTTCCATGGATCAGGAGAAAATTGCCAAAAGGGCACCCAATCTTAGTGACAGTGAAGTTTCAGGAAAAAGATAAAACTGCAGAATTACTTTGTCTATCTTCACTCTGTCATGGTATCTGCTTCCAAACATTCCTAACTTCCTATCTATTGTTTTTGTCCTCATCCAGCAGAGCATCTCAGCAGGACGGCATGTCTTATATTGCACACCACATCGTAGGACAAAGATCCCTAAATCAGCGCTCACCCAAGTCTGCTCTGGGGTTAAAGTGCTGGGTGCTCCTGCTCTTGGGTCACAACGACCCCCTGCAACACTACAGGCTTGGGGACCAGTGGCTGGGAAGCTGCCTGGCAGAAAAGGACCTGGGGGTGTTGGTCGACAGCCGGCTGGATATGAGCCAGCAGCGTGCCCAGGTGGCCAAGAAGGCCAACCAACCAGGTGGTTGAGTTGTAAGGGCTTGGTCACAGGGATGAGAAAGGAGCTCATCTTCTATCGGGGACATGCTGCCCTGCCCAAAGCGTGTAGGACTTAGGATGACGCAGGACAAGATCTTCCCTGAGCCTAGTTCACTGTTGCTGGAGGTATTCACAGCAGATAACACCTCTCAGAAGTGTTTTAAATTCCCTTTTAATTAATTAGGTCCTCTGCCTCTGCTTCTCTACTAGAAAGTTCTTCCAAAATTTTACACTGCTGATGATAGAATTTTTATTTACAGCAAGTTTGTATTCATTTTGCATCTACCTCCGTGCTCTTCCTTATCCTATCCCTCTCTGATGTTTACTCTGATCTATTTTTAGAGAGCCATCATATCCCCTTAGAGCATTACTTTCAATAGATTAAAGTAATGAAGCTTTTTTTTGTCACCCTTTCATAAGACAGGCTCTCCACTCCCTCAAATATTCCTGTAGCCTTCCTCTGCACCTGTTCCAGTCTGAATTTCTCTTTCTTGAGCCTGTGACTGGAATGGTACAGAGTGATCCAGGGGAGGTTTCGCCTTGGCCTTACACAATGACATTAATACTCGCTTTCAGCTCCACCAGCCATAGCTCACCTCATACATCTGAGGATCGCATTTATTGCCTCTTTCACTATCGCATCTTCATGGCTCAGTTATTCTGTGATTATTTAAATGCGTCCGTCTTTTTCTTCTTTGAGGATCATCAGCTAACAAGCTCCCAAAGTGCAGTAGAAACGTCTGTTTCTGATCTCTGTCCCAGAACTACCTGTCCCAAATACTGTGACTTTGCACTTCACGCTACTGCATTTCATCCTATTCCTGTTGTTCCACACGAGGCCGTGCAGGTCTCCTTTTACCTGACACAGTGTGTGATCCAGCGTGACCTTTCACAGCTACCTAGCTGAAAGTACAACAGGTCTTAAAATAAAGAGCCTTTTAGGAGGTGCTTGCCCACAGTGCTGGAATAAATAGATTTGTTAGATTGGTGTATGAACCGAGGAACGGTTTCCTGATCATTTTAAACAAGAAAGTTAAGAGACTATCTATGAAATCCTTTATTACTTCTGTTTTTCTGTAGCTTCTTGGTGGAGTTTAATTGGAATGCATGCTGGTGAAAAAGGCTTATTTTTCTGAAGCTCGAATGAGCCATCATGGTGAGCATTGGTTTCTATTACACTTTCCACAGAAAAGTTAGAGGATATACTATGCTCTGAAGTTTTTTTTGCTTGGATTCATCTTTTTCCCACGCAAACATTTACCAACACATCAACAAAGTGTTCCTTTCACAAGCAAATGTCCAAAAGGGTGTATTTTCATTTGAGTGCTGAAACAAAATGAGAAAAACACCTCCCAAAACTGTAAAGAAATGTGTTGGTTATGTGCCCTGAAGCTAACAGTGACTTTTCCTTTGCTGCCAGGAGACCGAAAAGTCTGATGCCACAGACGAAACTGAGGCACACACTGAAGACAAGGCCGATGACGGGTCTCACGAAGAGGCTGAGTCTGCTCAGTCACCATCAGAAGATCAACAGGTAATTTTTCCTTTTTCCCTTTGTGGTATGAGGATTTTACCTGTGCTAAGCACATGAAGCATAAACCCACAGCCACTGCTAATGTGCCGCAGGGTGGGAAGACTGATTGCAGCGTGGTCCTGCTTGTCTTTTGAATGCATTTTCTTTGACATCAGGGTGTTATGAAGCCTAGATAAAACTCCAGGGAACTTTGGTCTGGATCTTGAATAATAGAAGTTGTCTTTAGTTATCAGTTTCCTTTTGTCACTTGTTACCATAAGCTTTTTTTTTTAATAGTCTGGTATTAAAAAAAAACGGGCACTAGACTCTAGTTATGAAGAATAATTTAGGACTAGACATCTGAGTCTTATCTGTGTGGAAAAATTTGCTGCTATCAATGGCCAGCATCTGCAGTGCTCGTAAATCTAGTTGTTAATGTTTGTTGTCATGTACCAGCATTCACTGCTGTTGCAGCCAGCCAGACTTGGCGGTGTCTTCTCCAGGCCGTGCAGAAACCCTTGGGCAGTGCAGAAATGGAGAACATTGTTATCCTTTCTGCCTGCATCAGGGGCTGATACTGGCAGATCTGAAAATGCAGTGCTAAAGGTTCTTGGAAGAAACACCAGAGTTCCTTCAGGTCCCTCAGATAATATCCTGCAGCTAGCTAGCATCTGTACTTGTGGTTGAAAGGCAGATGGATCCCACAAAAAGAAACCTCTCTGTTGAGTGCCTGTGTCTTCCTCAGTGGGGTGTTCTGCTTACTGGCCAGGTTCTAGACCCAGTAGAGTGGATCCTGTGTTTGGAGATAGGGATCCAGCTGCATTATTTCCCCTGCTCCTCTGACAGTTTGGCCTTTAACGATGGGTTTGTTTTGATGTTGCAGTGTCAGGTGACTCTTTTCCCCAAGAGGCAGGCCTACTGCTGGATCACTTGCTGGGTTTTTTGTGGTTTGGAGATCAGATGGTCCCAGTGGAATATCTGTCACAAAGGCATCATCTCTTTCACTAAAGCCCAAAACAAATGTGTTTGATTTTTTTTCCATCTAGCTCCAATGTTCTTCCAGAGAAAGCAGCTCTCTGAAAGCCTTTTCCTTTTAACAGTGACTAAACCAGTCGTTCCTAGGCTGGAAAAGTCCCCTTTTACACCGCCTCACACAAGTCTCAGGCACTGGGAAGTCCCATTTAAAATTCAAAATGGCAATGAGGAGAGACAGTCCTCAGTGGGGACTGGAATTTGCCCTTAAATTGTATCCAAGCACTTTTCACATCTCTCTGAATTTCAGCTGGCACACAAGTGCCATCAAATACCTCTTTCCTTGGCTCCTAAGAGAAGCCCAGCATAAAACTGCAGTGCATCCCCCGGCTGGATTAGGTTACTTGCCATTCTGGCTGGCAGTCTACTCTAATGTTTTTCAAATGAGAACAGAATGCTGGAACACGTCTGCAAATGTGTCAAGCAGCTGTGTATGAGAGGTTTCAGAATGACATAATGCAATACCACTCCTGTACAGCAAGCACCTTGCTCCATTTCTCACAGAATGGATTGGAGCTGCAAGCAGAAAATATATTCTCCTTCAGTTTTACAGGGAGAGGAGTGGCAGAGGAGAGAGCACCAGGCAAGACAGTGTATTTGAACAGATCTTTCTGTGGTTATGAGGGCATAAAATATGGTTAGTCTTACAGATTCTCCCCTTTCACCTGCACTGTCTTGACAGCATCAAAATGTTCTTTCATGCTCCTACATAAAATCATAGAATCACTGAATAGTTTGGGTTGGAAGGGACCTTAAAGATCATCTAGTTCCAACCCTTTGAGCAACATTCCACTAGACCAGGTTGCTCAAAGCCTCGTCCAGCCTGGCCTTGAACACTTCCAGGGATGGGACATCCACAGCTTCTCTAGACAACCTGTTCCAGTGCCTCACCACCCTCTCCAGGAAGGAAAAGCAGGAGGAAAAGTCTTCCTGAAATTGTTCAACTCTGATACCCACCTTCATCATGCCAGGTGTATATTAGCTCCTAGGGGAAGCAAAACCCCACTGTTTCTCTTCCTGTCTCACTCGTTTTTAGAGAGGGTACTCACCACTGCGGGCAGCAGGGCACCAGGGGCACCTGCTGGGGACACACAAAACCCATTTTTCACCCTGTTCCACCACCCAATTCCCATGTCACGTAGGACAAATCACTTCAGTGACATGGCACCTGTGGGCCTTGCTACAGTTCATCACAGTCCATCGGTATCACTTCTGCTGGGATGGCGTGAATCATTCTGTAGAAATTCTGGTGTTCTCATTCCCTACAGACAGCACACAGATGGGTGTAGATGAGAACAACAACTTTGAGGCAGCTACAGTGTGATAAATTCCAACTTTTGTCTCTGTATCTCATTTTACCCTTATAAAAGAAAGCTAGAATAACATTTCCTTGCCTGGCCAGGCCTTTATGAGGTTAAATACGTTTGAAGACTGTCAGATTGCCATTGGAATATCTCTGCTGGATGTTAGGTCCTAAAGGACGTATGTAGCATCAGCACGGTAGTTTCAGTATTTCCCTCTCTTCCTCTCATCCTGCAGCCTGGCACATCTTGTTTGGCTGCTCGTCCACACTGAGTAGATGTTTTCTGTGTGCTCTCCCCACTCATGTCTTTTTGTCTTCTGGCTTACCAAGAGCTGGTCTCTGCATACTGAGCTCTGCAAGGGTGACCTTTTTATCAGTGGCCCACTGTGTTTTGCAGCCAAACAGTTGCATCTTTTGAACAGTAGTCAGGTCCCTTTCGGAGTGTCGACTTACTCTTTGACAAACCTTCAAACCAAAATGCCATAATTTAAGTATCACAGTTTTAGGTTCTGCTTCTGAATTAATATACCAGTGGGAATCTAGTAGTGGCATTTCGGCCTTACTTAGCACTCAGTTTCAAACCATCTTAAAAATGACTCTCTGATGCGGGGTGTAACCCAGCCGGCTTTACTCCAGTGACTTTGCAGGAGAAATGCCAGTGCTATGGAAAAATTCTGGAAGAGTCTTGGCAAGGTAAAGATATATCAGTCTTTGCCAATGAGCATAAGACAGAGAACAACAAAAACTGTGACTGTCTCAGTTGTGGAGCGGTGTGGAGGGCCCCAGATTTCAGAGGGCTCCTCCAACACTTTGGTAGCAGCTGATGATCAATGTGAGGAGGCTGCCGCCCTCCCCTGCTTCTTCTGCTGCCCTTGCTGGGAGGTTCAGGACTCCAGACACTCCACCTTTTTGTCTCAGGTTGGTATGACCCTGATGAAACCAGTGGGAGACCCCAACCCGCTGTAAACCAAGTCTCTTAAGTCAGCAGCTGCCTCTGGGAAGCGGCAGGGAGAAGGGCACAGTGCAACAGGCTGTTCTTCACCCAGCTGACATCAGGCTGCCCACGCTCCTGCAGCTCCGGCCCCTCACTCACACAGGCGCGCAGGAAACCCCAGAGCAGGTGTCGAAAGAGAAGGTCCCTTACACAGGCCCGGTAGTAAGGAACAGGAACAGCTTTCAGCGTGTGTCACCAACGGGCAGCTACACCACGATTTCTTTAGATTATGACTTTTTTTTCTTGTCTTAAACCTGTTGCATACTTTCCTTCCCTCATCACTGAATCAGTTTATCTTTGACGTCTTCCTAAACTTTTTTCATTCCTAATCCCCATCCTCTGACGGAGAAGGCTGAGGAACCATTTTGTCTGGGTATAGTGTCCCATTTTCTTGCTTTGTCCTTCCCTTTGGTTTTGATTTTTTTGAGGAAGAGACTGTGACCTCCTACGCACGTGGCACAGCAAGGGCTCTGCCGGTCACTAGATGCGATGGTAACAGTTTCTCTTTATTTTTACTATCAGATTTTATATTTTAACTTGGGGGTTAGAATCTTTTTTTAAGTGGTGTCCCATTTAAATCAGTTTCCAGTCAAGGTTAGGCTCACTTCAGGGCAGAATTATTTTAGAAACAAGTTCAAAAATCATATTATAATGCAAGTCTGTACCCTGTCTCAGCAATTCCCCAGGCCATATATAGACCCTGGCACTGCATCCCTACTTCCTTATCTCAACTCGTTCTGTGCAAACTCCTATCAACCCCTCATGGTTTCTGCATGGTACTGTTCCATTTGCCCTTTCTCCTTGGGAATTTTGTGTAAGATTAGCTCTTCTCTCCAATAACTAGCTGGGTATGTAACATTATATCCTATTCACTGTACATTTATATTTTTCTCTTTATCTCTCTTCTCTTCATCAATTTTGCTCAATCTACAGTCTAAAACCATCCTGTATTATTTCTTATTCCCCAGCAGTGTTGAGCCAAGGCATCTGTTCCAGCCTACAACAGTTAACAGAATTGCAAGCCAGATTCTGAGTGATGATATATAACATAGATAAGACTCGTTAGTTCTGATTTAACTTTTATTTTACAGACCAGCTAATTACAAAAAAAACCCACCACCCCAAAAAACCCCCCACACCTGAAAAAGCAAACAAAACTTCTTTTTAGAACAAAAGCTCTAATGCTTTGCATATCAATGAAGCAGATTTATTGGAAGTATCTGAGAAAAAGGGAGCTGTACTGATTGATTTTAGAGCCTTTTCTTCAAAGTGAAAGCTTAGCTTGAATATGCTTTGGGAGTTAATCTGGAGGACGTCCTCTCAAAATAAATCCACATAATTTTCCTAAATTCAGTGTTTAATTTCTGCTGTGTTTTGCCTGTATGACCTCTCATATTCTTTCTTTGATCTACCTTTTAAACATTTTCTTTTGTATCTCTTATGTAGGAAAGCAAGGAAGAAGATGCAGGAACAGGGGTATAGTATATTTGGACATTTTGCTTTTATCTTTTCTTTGTGTGCATTTAATTCTTTTCCAGCCTCATCGCTTCAGTCAAAAGTTAGTAAATTCTTATTCATGGAACCTAATATACTAGTATTATGTTCTGCTAGAGAAAATTATTGGTCATATTATACTCTTACTTTCTGGGAACAAAGGTAGGTCTTTATCCATTAAAAACTGTAAATGGAAGAGAAATTGTCTTTCTCAGATTCTGTAATAAAATTTGCCAAGGACTCCCAAGACATATTTTTGTCAATCACTAACTGACACCATGCCCATTACATTTTCAGTGCTGTGAGTGTGAAAGACTCATTCTGACAATTTAGGCAGTTCTGCCTATAAAGGAAATATTTTTCTTGCCAAAATCTGTAAAACCCAGGTGCAAATCCTTATACGTTTTTACGCTTTGCCCAGAATTGCAAATTATGCCTTGAATATTTCTTCCATGTTCCCAGTAAAACTAATGATTACTATTCCACTACAAACCTGCAATTAAGAAGAAGGCACATCCACATCTTCCCAACTCCAAACTGCAACGCGTGCACATATACATGTCCATACATACACATGCCCGCAGTCAGGGCTGTGCATCATGGACCCGTCAGCTGAAGTGGAGCTCCTGGGCCCACAGGTAGCATGTGGGGGCTCACGGTGAGGCTGGCGAGGGCCCTTAAGGCTGGTTAGTTCACCTGGCACCACAAACTCATGCTTCAAGCAAGAAAAATACCCATTTTTTTCTGTAAAAGGTGGTTGACTCGAATTTTGAACTGACGTTGTTAGTATCTGAAAGATGTGGTTTGTCAGTGCGCTTGCCTGGCCCTGTTTCAGGGAGCGCTAATGAAAGGTTCCTTTCCTGGGGGAAGATGCCCACAAAGAGGAAATATTCCTTTGGCACGAGAACCTCTGATCCAGCTGATCTGTGTGGACGTTCGTGTTGCGTTGCTGGTTTCGCAGGGATGATCCCTTAGCGCAATGGATTTCCCTGAAAAACAGCATTTCAGACCAGGAACCTGCTTACAACGGGCCCATTCCCACGCACATGCTTAAACAGGATTTTACTTGAGCGACTCAGCTGTGACCTTCGTACAGACAGTTCGTGTCTGAGAGGAAAACCTAAGGTCTGCGCTGCTCAGACACTATCTGCAGTTCTGACTGAAAACTAATTATGTGTTCTTTGATTGGCTGATTGCGCCAGGAAGAAATTCCCGTAATTTTTGTAGTCTGGGTAGCATGAGGAGGTATGACATTTTGAGATAAAGCTTGTTTATGCACACAGAAGGAATGCCTTTGAACAAGAGCTTTCTGGAAGAGAAGGACCAGAAAGCCTACAAGGCCATTTTCAGTTGTTTCTCAGAGCAGGACTGTACTCTAAAGCTTCATTTACTGCCTCGTAAAGGCAGTAAACACAGATTGTTGCCTGTGTTACATAAATGCTAGCTTTCAGGTAACTGTTTGTTTGGTCGACTGAAGCAAAGGGCTATTGCCTTTAAATTGTGTCATTTCTCCCATATCCAAGAGACAAATAAGAACTTTTGAAACAGAAACAAGGCTGCATTATCTGACTCTGAATGATTTCTAGATTAATCAGGAGTTTAGTTCCTATTCCATGAATCTTGACTCATTTACTTCTCCGAGAAAGCATATAATTAAAAATCCTAACCTTTTTGTCATATTCACATGTATTTTGTGTTCTCATCTGGATCTTGAACATATATTTACAGCGTAACCATGTACCGTGTTCTAACCTCTCTCAGAAGAGGGTTCTTATATTCCAGCACTCGCCAATGAACTCCACAAGGCTAAACCCCTGGCTTGTTAAGATTAAAAGCTCTAAACATTACTTCTCTCTTCTGTTTTTTAGGCTCAAATAATATTGTATCTGCTAGAAGCAGAACAGCTGCAAAAGCAGAGCTCTGAATTTCAAAACTGTGTATTTTTCCTTCAATTCCTACATGATAACTAGAATTATTTTCTGTAAAAAAGGAAGAAGAGGAAAAACAGGAACAGGGAGAAGAAGAAAAGGAGGAAGAGGGAGAAGAAAAGGAAGAGGTGGAGGAGCAAGAAGAGTCTTAGTACACTTCCATATGAAACATTCTTTCTTGAACAGGTTTTCAGGTAACTATTAAGATATCCAGCACAGTCTCTAAATGTTCTCAAAGTAACATAAGCTTGAAAACCTTGTACATATTGTTGTTATATGCAATGACTAGAATGCAAAGTACCTACCAAAAGGTGTTATGCATTTGACACATAATGATTAGTCAGAACTATTTCCCTTAATGAGTCTGTTAGTTTCCCCCGTTTCTGTGGCACTGATGGATCTGACTTTCCTACACAGCCGTCTCTGTGATCCCTAATATCCCTCAAACACTGCAGGGCCTTTGATCCATTCCCCATCGCTCTTAACAACCTTCAGCTCCCTGCTGGCCTTCTGGCATCTGCCTTGGAACGACTCCTGCGCATCCTCCTGCGGTACCCCCTCGGCTCTCTGCCGCGTCCCCTACGCGTGAGCAAGGCACCGGGCAGTGTGTGCTGCTGTCGCACGTACACGAGGTGCCCAGCTGGTGGGCTGAAAGTGCACCCAACTGTTCCACTCGTTCCAGCTTCTCTCTCATCTGGGGTGAGAATTCCTCCCTCTCCTCTCTTACTCAGCTACTGATTTCACTGCAACCTTTAGGAGCTCCATGTCTGAAATGAAGCCCTCTCTCAAATGTAGTTGAAATGTTAAAAAAAAAATGATTACCGGGGAAAGGAGAGGAGCCTGACCAGAAATACACTGTGCTATAGAATTACTCTGATTGCCTTGGCAACTGGGCCAAATGTGACTTTACATCCTCAAAACAGGAAGCAACTGGGAAGCAGAATTTGTGCCTGTATAGAGGTATGAGCATCCAGCCTTGCTCAAGTTTTTTCAGCACCTGGTTTCAAATTCAATTTTCATGTTTTCTTCTTCCTCCTACTTCTCTTCTTCTTTATCCAAAATAAAGATCAGACAGTTGCTTCCTAGGGAAAAACTGTTAACCTCCAAGAAAGTGAGAATTTCCAGCAGATTCTCCCTTGGGTGTTGGGACTCCCTCCCAATTGCAAACACAGTGTGATGCGCTAGAACTAGCAGGATTCCCAGATAACTCTGCCCCTGAGGTAGTCGCCACAGGTTTCGCCAAGGATATGCTGATGTGGAGACCCAGTGCCTCAACAGGACAGAAAATCCACCACTTCTTTCATGCTACCTCTCCCAAGTCTGCCTTCCACTGTTGCATGGGGATTGATTCACCCCAAGGCTGTCCAGTGCTCAGGTATCTGAAATCATAGAAGGAGTCCTAAGTTCTAAACTAATTTTCCTATTTTTTTTTTTTCAGGAAGCACAAACTGGAGCAGCCCTGCCAGAGAAAACAAAATCACTGTCCTCAAGCAAACCGTCACTACCTTTCATGCCCGCAGACTTACGAGCATATGGATACGTAACAGAACAAAGACCCTACTCTGTCCTACCTGTGGCCTTTATATATATATTTGGAATTCCAATGGCTTGTTAAAGTGGGTCTTCTTCTATCTGACTGACGATATTTCGGCTGATTGTTATGTGTTGCATAGTATTGTCCATGTCACGTTCTAGACCGTAAGCTCCTCAGGGCAGGAGCCGCGTCTTTCTCCATGTTTGTGTGCTGCCAGAGACATTGCCGCCACCCAGCAGATAACTGCACGCTCACGCGTGATGTGTTCAGAAAAAACGGAAACTGCAAAGGGGCTTCCTGTGCACGAGCTATGTCAGTCACATCTCCCTCAGCTGGCTTTTGAAAACAGTGGAGATCTCCCTTGTACAGCAGTTTAAATAAACGCCTTTTCTGTCGTATCCGTTCTTTGTCTGCAGAAGCATTTTTTTGCCCCTAGCAAGCTGCGCTGTGATCTTCAAAGTCAGGTTTCCTCTGTTGTTACGGCTGTGGGCTGTGCAGAGGCCTTCGCCTTGCCTTACGTTCCTGCCGGTGCTTCTGGTGTGGTGTGCGAGACCCCAGCCACGTGGGCACGTGGCTTGCACTGGAGGGAGGAGGCGTCCCGGTCCCTTCCACCGAAGCCTTGTCAGTCTTCATGGATACCTCCGTATTCACTGGGCCAGGGAGGCAGGGAAAACTGATCCAAGTTCATGCTGTAACAGTTGCTTAGAAGCTCACTAGGGAGGAAGGAGCCTGGATTTCAATCCCTTGGCCCATTACGTTTTATGGAATTTAGAAAAAACTGCTGTTAGGGGAAGGGAGGGGATGAGAGATGCTTCTTGTCAAGGTAGCCCACAGCTTCCTAGACAAAACCTTCTCCAAAGAAACCATGAGTTACATTTAACTCTGATCCAGAGGAGGCTAGCTGTTCAAGCTGGGATCTCCTTACTGTGAGTGCCTGAACAAATAAAGTGGGAAAAAAAACCTGTGGAGGTTTCCTGAATGTCCTGAGTGGGTGCATTTATTTGTTGAGGATACATCTGAATTGCAGTTGTTGGGAGGGGGTGGATGGGGAAGCACTGCTCTCTGCCCGAGCTGTTCTTGGACTCATAGGTGATGCTGAGCTCGGAGCTGGCACGTCCAACTGAGGGAAGGGCCTTGGAGCCCTCGCTTACAGCCCACCAAAACCATCAGCTCAGTGCGGAGCAGCGGCCAAGACCCAGGAAAACGCTGGGCACCGTCAGGAGGACGTGTGACTTTGTGGCCATACCAAGCTGTGCTGAGCCGGCACCTTGAGCGCTTTGTGGTCTCTGCATCTCAGGGGAGACATAATGGCAGCAGGAGGGGTACAGCGAAAACAACAGTCAGGGAGGATGAAACGGCTGCTCCATGAGGAGACTGAAAGGGCTCTTTGGTTGGGAGAGGAAGCCAAGACGTTTAACAAAAATCAGAAGGGCAGGGAGTGGGATGAATGCAGAACTGTTAGTCAAAAAATCCTGCAATACTCTCATGAAAATGAGCACACCCGGTTACTATTCACAATTAAATCAGTAGATGAGTGTAAAAGAGACAAAAGAGAGTACTTTTTGTACAGTGGATCGGGAACTTCTGGAAATTGTCACAGGATGTTATGGAGGCCAAGAAGGTCAACAGGCCCGAGAAAGTGTCGGCTGATGTCAGGAACAGGAGACTTGTAGGTGAAAAATACAGCCTGGGATGTGTCCACCGATAAGGAATCGTGGATGCTGTGGGCTGGGTTCAGAAGAATTTGAATAGAGCAGACTTGCTGTCCCTTAGTAGCATCGCCCATTTCCCCTTTCGAAGACTGAGCACCCGGCTGGGTGAGCCACTGCTCTGAGCATTTCCTATGTTCCTGCAGGTGATTACTCCTTGTGGGGAAAATATCTCCCATCCTGCCAGCAGCCGAACTGGGGTGCCAGTCATCGCTGCAGTAGTTTTGAGTAAAAGCCTGGACTTTTGGGAGTACAGTAGACAAAAAGAAAACGGAAGAGTTCATCACCCTGGAAGTGCAGTAAATCCAGCACAGCGAGCACGTGGTGTGCAACAGCCGGTGTGTTCGTGGCAGCCTTGACGTGTCCCGGGCTGCCTGAGCTTCGCCTGGCTGATGAACCACGGGCTCCACTTTTCCCCCCACTGATGTGCAGAACAAAGAGCCTGAGCGTGCTCGGTACATCAGGCAGGGCCGCGGGCTTTGGGCTCGGAACCAAAGCACCGCACGTTGCGTATTTAGGTGTTGCTTGTTAAGGCAGAAATATGGCAACCGTCTTCTCGAGAGGGTGTAATCTGGAAAGCCGGTCAGGGAATGTGAGGAATGCTAAGCCTCGCGAAGTGACGTGCTCCCCTGTTCTTCAGCTGATGACTGAAGTTATGCTCGGTGTGTAGTGGAAAAGCAGATGGGATAGTGGATGGTCATACTCGCAACACGGCTCCCTGGTGCGTTCCTTGGGATAGTGCTCTTCTGCATGCGCTGCTCATCTTTGCTGTCAGGCGAAAAGGAGGTTTGTGAGTACACAAAGGATAAACGGAACGCTGACTGTTTGCTCGGTGGTTTTAGCCTTCACGCTAATTCTGCTTACATAAGCTTAGCACTTTCTGCAGTAATTTAGTGTGTCTGGGCAAAAAATTAAGTCTTTTCTAACTACAGCTGAAGGGAAATCAGTAGCACAAATATGTGAGCTGTTGATTTGAAAATGTCCTGTTTGCATTTTTGTTTCTCTTACATTTTACTGGGAGGAAGCAACCGCAGTCAGTTAACGGGGCACATCGGGTACGTGGTGTTTCACGTGCTTCAGGAACCTGTGGATGCCAAATCATTCCAGTGCACCCCAGTTAAACACAAAACAGTACGCTGTTTTCTGTGACATTTTGGTATGCAAAGTATTTTCCTTGCATGATTGATGCTAGAAAGTTCCAGTATACTGAAACAAGCTAAGATTAGAAAGGCTTCAAGCTAGACTTCCTACAGATCCATATATGTCATAGGACGGTGGCTGTTTGCTCTTTAAAGTGATTGATGGTCAAGTTTAACAGACTGTAAAAGTGACTACAAGGATCATTGCAAAGCACCTTAGTAGACAGGGCTGTTCAATGGTTTATTTCTAGGAAAATAAATGTTAAAACCTTCAGTGATAAAGGGGTTTGAATAACGGGTCCAGAAGGCAACCTGGACCATGCTGTCTCTTGCATGGGAGAACTGAGCTAACAAATTGTGTGAGGGGTTTTCCCCTAAAAAAGTCTAAGGGAAATTCATTGGTGTGGTGGAATTTTGTGTGTGTTTGTGGCCTTTGGTGGCAGGAGAAGGTCCACAGGGATGGCTCCTATGAGAAGCTGCTAGAATCTCCTCCAGCTCCAAGTTGGACCCACCTCTGGCCATGGCCGAGCCAGTCAACACCTCTGGGATTGACACGTTTAAGAGGGGAAAACAAAGGAAACCTGCAGTGGGAAGAGGAGTGGGATGTGGGGGAGACAGCCAGACACACACTCAGGTCAGTGAGGAAAGGTGGGAGGAGGAGCCCAGAGCAGACGTTCCCCTGCAGCCCTTGGTGAGAGGGCAGGCTGTGCCCTGCAGCCCAGGGAGGGCCTCAAGCCAGAGCAGGCAGCTGCGCCCAAAGAGCCCGTGTCTCCCTGGAAAGCCCAGGCTGGAGTAGGCTGCTCCTGAAGGACTGCACCCCATGGAAGGGACCTGCACAGGAGCAGTTCATGAAGAACTCCAGCCTGTGGGAAGGACTCATGTTGGAGAAGTTGGTGGAGGACTGTCTCCCATGGGAGGGACCCCATGCTGGGGCAGGGGCAGAGTGTGAGGATCCCTCTCCCTGCGGAGGAAGAAGCGGCAGAGACAGAGTGTGATAGACTGACCACAACTCCCATTCCCTGTCCCCTTGAGCTGCTGGGGCAGGGGGAGGTAGAGAAATTGGGAGCAAAGCTGAGATCAGGAAGAAGGGAGGGGTGGGGGAAGGTGTGTTTATTTCTCATTATCCTACTCCTATCCTGATGGGTAACAAATTGATTTTTCTTCCCTAAGTCGAGTCTGTTTTGCCCATGACCATAACTGGTGAGCAATCCCTCTCTGCCCTTGTCTCAAACAATGAGTCTGTCCTTATGTTTTCTCCTCCCCATCCAACCCAGGGGGAGGAGTGAGCGAGCGGCCATGTGGTGCTTAGTTGCTGGCTGAGCCTAAACCATGACAACTGGAGAGAAATCAAACTGTTGGGCAGTTTTGTCAGTAGAGCACTAGCCCCCTGTCAGTATTTCTGGTCACCTTTCCAGCCACCACATCTCTTCACCTGCCTTCCAAATAACAAGACTTGCTAGTAGTCTTCTGTTTACTGCAAGAATATCAGTGTTAAAGGAGATAAGACTATTTATCTGCATCCTTTGACAACTTCAGAAGGCTGGAAATAACGCTTGACAAACAATCTGGGAAGCTGAAAATTCGAGATAGTAATTTCTTCAGAAGGCAGACTGCAAATTTGTGGTTTGATGTCAAACATCTTGAAGAACGCTCACTGTTCCTCCGGTTGCAAAGTCATCGCTATGCATAAAGCAAACACAGGAAACAACATGGGGAAGTAAGGTGCAGAGGTGGGATGATATGCTTAATAGCACAAATCAAGGGTGCTAGAGTCCAAATTAGATGTGGACTACCTGCTGTGCCTTCCCCTGATTCAGAACGTGCCAACCACGGGTTTGCATGTGGCGATGAACTTTACTTGACCATTCTCCTTCCTGGACATGGAGGACTTCATCTCTCCCGCTGCAATCACGTGCTGCCTGTCCTGCACAAGCAGCCGTGGAGGAGTGAGCACAGGAGATGACTTCAGGGTAGGCACTGGGACACAGTGGAGCAGGGAGTGCACAAAAGTGGGGGCGAGGGTAAAAGTCAAAGTCAGAGCGCCCGGTGCTCAGGTGACTGCCTGCGCGGAGTGATGGCTGTGAAGCTGTTAGCAAGGCATGGGGGTTTCTGCTCCACTGACTTTATGGATAGGATCCTAGATGGATGCCATTGTCCT